CCGGAAAGGCAAAGACCAAGCGCAGTAAACTTTACAAATCATCTTTTCCCAAATATAAGCTCAAGTGAAAGAAGACCATTCAAACAAATCATTTTCAACAAAAAAAGCGATTGATGCAAATCAAGGTATTACTCTCAAATTCAGATAAAAGACAAATATCAGTAAATTTTTTCGCAATTTTTTTTGTGTAATCAGGTATGCGGATCGGATTTCAACGTGAATACTCAAATTGCTCCGTGTGTGAAGATATCTACTGTCACATGGAATCTATAAATAAGAAGTAAGATAAAACTGGCCAAGAAATATACCGAGAGGAAAGCTTTATTCCAAACAGTTCTTGATTTGCTTTCCAAAAGTTCGGTTTTCACTTTACGGCTCCAGAGAATCGTAGTGTTGTTGACCAGAAGGCTTATTTTGTCGCTTTAAAGACTTTGATGTCCATTGTTTGCTAAGCAGACTTAGATGATGATCGGTAAGATTAAATGTGGGGCAACCTGTTCCAAAGGTCCAGACCGCACTCAGAAGACATGCCAACTGAAGGAAAGCCGCCGTGTGAAATCTTAACAACGAAGATAAAGGAATAACTAGATTAAAAAAAGACTGACAGCGTGATACATGCACCCATGAATACGAAATGACCGCGTTCTGAGGCTCAGGTTACTACTGCAACCTATCCTCGACGATGCTAGTGACTGGGGACGAGGCACGGTAAAACACGTTGCAAGCACTCTGTATCTTTGGCCATGACATAGAATGGTTTTTGGTAAGCCACACAATAAAAATGCCAACCACTTGTCCACTAACTCATAGGTGTGCAGCTGATATCACAAGCTGATTAAATGGTGTTCATCCCACAGTGGCGGAGGGTCAAGTTATCACGCAGGTCTGCTTTCACTGGTCTTTAAACTGTTGTAACTTGTCAAGTGAGAAACTGTGGCTCTTATAATGTAGCCTGCGTTGCTGGCGGTCTGCGATTTTGGTGGCGGAGATGAATTTTCTCTCCGCCCCCAAAATCGCAGACTATTTAGAATGCATAACACTCCTCTGCTGTACGGGTGTGTAACTCCCGCTACTGCGGCACGGAATAGCTGCCTCTTCCTCTGAAGCAAAGCGCCAACGCAATTTTATGGTAAGAGCTATAATTATAGATTTATTGTCGATGGAAAGGAAAATTACTGAACGGGTAACATCGTGGAAAAACATTCATCCCGTATGAATTAAGGATGATATCGTCACTTAATGATGGCTTGTAAATTCGGCACTAAGTGTCCTTATTCGAAGGATCTTAAGCTTGTTAGTTTAAACTTCTTTCAAAATGAACCAGTCATCTTATTATGCAACAGATAATTAAACTCTTCATGCTAAGAGAGGATTACTTCCATCTTTGCTTTGATTAAGCGAAATTTTAAAAACTTAAAACAAATGTTCAAAAGAATCTTAAATATGAACAAAAATTGATTGAACGAACCTTTTTTTTTTTTTTTTCTCGCGGGTAAAAGAAATTTAAGTTCCTTTCAACAACTCCCCTTTTGGCATTTAATTGAAAGCCTGGTTTATAAATAGTTCTGTTTAACAAAGTGGCTATGGATCTCTCTTTATAGCCTTTAGATTAACCGTAGAGTTAATAGTGCAGAGCATTAAGTGCACTTTGGCCAGAGTTATCAACCAACGCAGTTAAGAATTAAATACTTGTATAAATAAAGCGCACCTACATTTGAATTTCCGTTGAATTATACAAAGTATTGCTCTTTTGAAGCAAAACGTTTTCTTAATCCGTGAAACCTGACGCATTTGCTTTCATTGCATAGGAGAAATTTCCGTGTTTTCTGCCTAAATATTGCAGCTTTGAAGACAATATTTTAATGTGCCTGGAAAAAAGCGCGATATTTTTCGCAATCGAGATGAAAAAAAAATCCCTACAAGGTCCCTTTTCCACGGTAAATGCTATTTTGGAAAACACAAAATAGTTTCGAAAGCGTTATAGATTGACAAAAAACTTCTCAAAACAATTTTGAAAGTTCGCGCTTGAGCCCAAACATTTAATGCCATCGTAACAACATTAAATGTTATAATATTTGCAACTAAACTCTCACCATTGCTGCTTTGAAGAAAGCATTTCACTGTGTCTGGAAAAAAAAAAGCACGATATTTTGCGGAATCAATTTGAAAAGAATCCCTACAAGGTCCATTTTCCACGGTAAATGCTAATTTGGAAAATACAGATTAGTATGGAGAGATTGACATAAAACTTATTCTAATAATTTTGAAAGTTCACGCTTGAGCCTGAACATTTAATGCCATCGTAAAAACATTGCATATCACAATGTTTCAACTGAACTCTCACTACTCTGAAGAAAAGAACCCAAGATGTACACGGGTTTGAAATGAAGATGCCTAGTTACAATACTCTCCAAGTTTACATTGTTATGTTACAAAGATAAAAGACAGGTTTGCGACTAAAAGAAATAGGCTATCTTTAATATTGAGGAATAAACAGGAACGTAAACTTGTTAACAGTGGAATTTCATCGATTGGCTGTCGTGATCGTACGCATAGTTTCAAAACGACAAATATTAACAACGGCGTCCTTTTAAGGTAGTTTTGAAATCCTCCCTAAACACTTCGTGATAAGCGTGTAGCATCTTCGACTGATGAAATCATGATCACGATCCATATTAAATATTAATGTCCTCAATACATCGTGATCGTTAATGATTTTGAGAAGGTAATTTTTGGTCACGGGTGTAAAGTAGATAAATTATTTTTGAAAAATGTAGGTTTTACCCTCTTTATTTTGTAAAGAGGCTACTAAGTACTGGATCGCATAATGTTAGTACGAGTTGTATGTGATGTTTGACGCAAGGCGTAATTCTTATCTCCAGCAAATCATGATCTATTGATTAAGAGCACTTGATTTTAACAGAGGTTTGACCTGTTTAAGCTTGACAGCGCCTTAGAGCTGATAATCAATTGTTTGTAAAGTTACTAAGTGCGGGGGTTATGGAAAATATTTGCGTGTTCATTGTGTGATCACTCCTCACAAGAATTCCTGCTATCATTAATATATGAGAATAAGGAGTTTTTTCTTTTGTTTCGTTTTGAGAGTTATTGGGACCTATAAGCACAACATTAAACTGAAGCGTTTTTCTACTTGTCATGACATGTAGAAATTTATTCAAAGTATCCGAGATAAGAAAGATAACACCATGAATCTCGAGAATTACTCAGGAACGAGAATATATTTGGAGATTCAAATATTCTTAACACCTTCAAACACCTTAGAATGCAACTTTTAAACGTATGCGGCCGTGACGGATGTGGTATTTGTAGAAAGGAAGAAGAAAAGGAAAATGTATTAAGTAACAGTACAGTACTTTTGTATTTTTTTTTTTCTTATCAAAAACATGATCGCTTTTAAAATCGAAGTTGTCTTTATGTGCAAAGCAGTTCTTGATTTTGGATGATGTCGCAAACATGCAATTAGTGTTACCTTCCAATATAAAAAAAAACAACAACAAGAAAAAAAACTAAATTTAATTAAAGAAGTTCGGGGTTCTTTTCATTCATATTTTAAGAATGCAGGACGCCTTTTTGACGCTAATAAATGCATGCGTTGCCAAACAGCGTGATTCCATTTTGTTATTTTCTCTGCCATACGAAATGCGTGCGTTTCATTTCATCATATAAAGATTCCTCTAACGTTGTTTTCATCTTAATGCTGATGAAAATTCTAGGAAAATAATCTGAGTTTTATTAATCCCCAAGTTACGCTCTAGACACTCAATCCATTTCCAAAATTTGCTTTCTTTGTTAGATTCTAACTTATTAAAGGCTGTTGTAATAATATTTTTATTCTCAATGACAAACAGGAACATGAAATTAATTATTAAGAGCATGAGATACATTGACTATTGTTGCAGTAACCACAGTTAGAAGAAACAAGTGTTGATAACAGCATCGTTTTTAGAGGGTTCATCACAGACAAACAGGAACATGAAATTAATTATTAAGAGCATGATAGATATTGACTATTATGACAGCAACAACTGTTACAAGAAACAAGTGCCGATGACAGTATCGTTTTTAGAGGGTTTTTATTTCTCTTTAAAAACTCTGGAGGAAGCGTGCTACATACTATTAAAGGTAAGCCAGTTTCCTTTGACGTTAGCAAGTTAAAAAACTGAGAATGAAACATCTCATTTTTAAATGATTATTTGGATATAGTATGATACTTATTCCTTTCGGGGAAAAAAAATTAGAAAATTATTTTCCGAAGAAACTTAGATGAGATGATTCCCCTCTCCGGAGGTCAACGAAACTGCAGTCCTTGCAGCTATGTCATCGAATAAGATGTTGAAATTCCTATAATTTCGTTAATTTTCTAACTAAAAGAGAAAGGATCTTTTAAGTTTTAAAAGATCCTTTACGACCTGAGCCTTTTACCACATTTTTCAATTAATTTTTTCAAAGAGGATATGTCCATATGATAGTTAGAATGGTGAAATAAGGAGTTGCATTATTAAAAAGTGATCTCTTGTCACGGAAACAATTGGGCTAGGAAAATATTAAAAGAGGCCTTCAGTTATTTTAATTAAATCTAATCAGTTGCACGTTTCTTATTGCTAAGATAGATTCGATTCAGAATTGATTCCAACGTAGCTTCATGTTTGTTTGTCTGTCTGTCTATCTACTGTCATAACTTTTTGACTGGCGGTTGGCTAAGTAATCTACACTTTCCAATTTCAGCATCAGTGGTTATGGCATGGAATCCAAGCTTTCCAATCCTCCTGGCCTTTTTGTATCTCATGGACTTCGCTACGGCTAAAAATCTATGCAAAACAGAAGTTAGCGTACCTGGTATGGCTCTCAAAGGATATATCTTTAAGAAGTTCCCAGCGACAGCTCCTCATGTGTGCGTTATTACCTGCGAGAGGGAAAAGATATGTCAAAGCTACAATTACGTACTTGGGGAAAAGTCCTGTGAATTGAATACCCGAACCATGGAGGCAAGGCCCGATAATTTCCAGCCAGATGGTTCACGCTTTTACATGAGACGCTTTAAGGGTAGAAGTATGTGTCCAGTCTAGTTTATTTGCCATACGAATCTTTCTCAATGAGTTCTTAGCAAACTCCCGCCACTTTCCAAGAGCAAGTGTCTGTTGCTTTTTTATTAAATAGGGCCAGTGTCTTAAAAAGGAAATTCGCCCTATATACTACATTAACATAAGCTAAAATTCACAGATCTTTATTATTATTATTATTCCATTTTTATCTTGCCCGGATAAATATATTTTCCACTCTTATCTGTTTTGCAACCTCTATTACCCTTATTATTAATGAAGTTATGTCTATATCGTAGCCCCCTTAGGATCTATTCCTGAATTACCAGCGTCATCGTGCCAAGAGATAAAATTAAGTGAAGGTAAAGACAGCATCAGTAAAAAGTACTGGTTGGATCCAGCTAATGTCGGGAGTTCAAATTTGGTTTATTGCGACATGAGCTTGGGAGGTAAGTTAGTATATCACGAACAGAATCACTTTAAACAGTGTTGGGTCTACCTTTGCACTTGCCTTTTTTGTGAAATGTTTTCATCTTGTCTCTGTGTTTTCTTTCCGTTAACATCCAATTAGACATCGATGAATGCAAAAGCAGCAATGATGTTTGTGACAAAAATGCAAACTGCTCCAATACTGTTGGGTTTTATAATTGCACCTGCAAAGAAGGATTTACTGGGGATGGACATTCGTGCTCAGGTAAAATAGTTACAGACATGCCGAGGCACAATATTTAATTCTTTCTCGCCTAAAAACACCAGAGGTATATTTGAGCTATTTACGATCGAGTGAGTGAATAATAGACCAATAATAGCTTCCATGCTATATCAGTGGACCCTTAGCATTAAACAAAGCAATTTTAGCAGGAACAAATTGTTAGATGCAAAAACGATAAAGTACAATCTACGGTTTCTCAGATATTGATGAGTGTAGAGGAAATAACTCCTGTCACGTAAATGCCACATGCAAAAACACCCTTGGATCACATGTATGTGAATGTCACCCTGGATATTCTGGAAATGGACAAAACTGCTCAAGTGAATTTTATATCTTTGTAACAATATTTATAATAGTCCTGCATGACACGTGCGAATACAGCGCCGCATCATTCAGCCGCGTGAACTCATAACTCGTTTTAATTTATATAAGCAACCGTTTCTCCTGTTAACGACCTTTCAGGTAATGTTCCCAACTTTTGAACGAACAATTTTAGTGACTGATACATTGTTATTCTGCTTCTGTTTTACAACAATGATTGAAAACAACACGAGAATAAAATCGCTCGTTCGGCTCTGAACCCTGTGCACAGGATAAATATGTAAGTGGTTTTCCATAGCGCTACGTTTTCGTTCACGCTTAAGATATATTTGAGGGGAGAAGTTGAAATTTATTATCATCAAGTTTTATAAAAGAATCAAGATATTACGAGCACCCTGATTGGTTAAAAAAACAATCGTTAATTGCACCGGCAAACCCATGGGAAATGGAAGTCTGTGTTGTTGACAATTGGAGCAAGCCTTATGCCGTTTAAATTAACGAATGCCATCTGAATGAATCTTGCACTATTACCCAGGGCTCATACAACTGTTCTTGCAATCCAACAATTTATATTGTCTTTCTCAAGTAGAATGTGTAGCAATAAATTGCTTCGAGTTGACTTTCATCCAACATTCACACCTAGAAGGCATAATTTTTCGCTCTCTTACGCACAAAATCGAATCAGTTTATTATTATTATTATTATCATTATATCTTAAATGATTTAAAAAGAAACTTACGCAGACATGACACCTTCCGTGGAACTAGAAAAACCTTTAAGAATCTCTTACCTAAAAGATTTCCACATATCATTAGTTACGATCAATAAAATTTATTTGACTTATGCAAGGCAATACGCGTTATGATTATAAATGATTGGATATTGGTAACAGGCAGAGACTTATTACACAGTAGTGGGAAATATTTGTGTTGCTGTTATTAGAATTGGTTTCTCGGAGCTGAGGATCAAAAGTGTCTTAAACGCGTTTGGTATCATCCAATTGAGGTACAAACAACTCAGGCTTTGATGGGCGATTAAATAAAGAGGACACATAATTCTTTATAATGCTTTTATTTCGTTTTAGTTCCTATGTTCAACATCATTGTCCAACGCAAATTCTTCTTTAAAATCTATTTAATTCATAGTTGTTCTTGTAAAAGTCCTATCGGGTTGTTGTGAAACTGATTGACTGGAAAAATGTCAACAAAAAGAATGTTATCTTTGATACTACGATCTTTTCGTGATGTTGATTAAATTCAACAGTCGACCCACGTTATAGTTATCAAAACCTGGGTGATGCCAATACAAAGAGCAGTTGCTCTTACTCCCCTACGGAAGGTAAAGTTTTGTGTGGGAGCTGCAGGAACAAGCCAGTTGTTTCAGAGCCGTCAGCTTGAAAAATTAAAACATTCGTGATTAAATGTTTGAAATATCTAATTCGTGAAACACAAAAAAGAAGAAATTTATTATTATTAAATTAAATTTATTATTTATAGTTATCAAAATTAAACGACTGAGGGTCCGCCCACATTAAAGTGATGAACATGATGAAGTGCAAATATTTATATAGTTTCTAAGATATTGACGAATGTAAAGGGAATCACTCTTGTCAAGTAAATGCACCTTGCACAAATACCGACGGACCCTATGTTTTTGAATGCCACCCTGGATTTAATGGAAATGATCCACCCTGCGCAGATGAATTTAATCTCTTTGCTATAATATTTAGAACATTCCTGCTCGAATCTAACATCAAGCTGAGGTGGCCACTGACGGCCATATTATTAGTTTGTCGTATGCAAACGTTACTCTTGTGCCTTAAGTCTGCCTAAAGCTGTCCTTTAATGCGCTGACTGAGAAAGAAGGAGTCCAGATTCGGATCTTGCTAAATTCGTTTGGATCTCCAATATCACTGTTTTGGCCTCTTCGAGTGATGATATCCTACACATGTACTACTTGACCCCTGAATCAACGCATAGTCATTTTTCTACAAATTTCACCACTGATTGGTAAGCTGCCAGAATTATAGGATGTTAGAGAAAACCTTGAAACATTGATTTTAATAATCTCAGTCCTTTTGCAATTGTCAGTTCACTTTGTAGCCGATCCTTGCTATTATTATAAAAACCTGAGCGATGCCAATAGAAAGATAAGTTACGTAACACCTTACGATTTAGAGTTGTGTGACAATGGACTTCATAGTTCTTTTTTTTTTTCGGAAAATTCAAGTGCCGTGTGTTTTTTTTGAGCTGATTCTCTAAAAATAAATAAATAAAATAAAATAAAATAATGTCTTTATTCCATCATAAGATAAAACTACATATCTTATGTTACAATGAATTGAAAAAACTACAGAAATCTACATACATATTATGAATTAAAAAGTATATCATCACAATAAATGGAGCTTAAATATCAACCTATTTACAAATGTGTTCATAAAGCGCTGTGTATTAATTTTCGGGCGCGCGCAGCCTTTTTTCCTGAGATTGTGTAGATATGTCTTTTGGACAGGAATGATATCTTTCAGGGGTGGCAATCCGTTGATTTTAGTTTCTTCAAAATGTTTCTGTCTTGTTTGTTTAAAAGGTTCTTGATAAAAACTGGAAATGAGATAAAACCGCGTTCATGACATCGGTCTAAAAATTTTTGTACAACCGTAAGATCGGACTCAGATGCCCCATAGACTGAAAGTGCATAGCTAAAATTAGCCAAAACAATCGATATAAAAAGATGATCAATCTCTGCCTGAGAGTAATGTTTCCTTTCTCAATGTTCGTAGGACGTGTAAACACTTGTTTGCTTTGACAAGCTTAGTTCTTACATGCTCATCAAATTTTCCATCACTCTGTAAAGTTACTCCTAATAAAACGAAGCTATTACATTGGGGAATATTATTAATTGGAGAGTAGAGTACATTATGATTTTTCTTTCTAACAACCAGCTCTTTACATTTGCAAGGGTTGCAGACCATTCTATTGTCTTTACACCATGTTAAGAATTGTCCTACTAAGTCGGCAGACGGGTCACTATTCCTAGTGATAGGCGAAAGAATAGTGGAATCATCGGCATATTTAAAAAGCACAGGGCGACCATTAAAATAATCTCCAAATCGTTCAAAAATATATTAAAAAGATACGGTCCGCTTACACTACCTTGTGTGGTTCCTCTATTGACAAGTTTCCACTGTCCTAAAAAATTATAACTAACAACACGCTGTTGTCTTGCATAGAGGAAACTATGATACCAATTGATAATGTACGGATTTAGAGGTAGCTGTTTCAGTTTGGCAGACAAAATAGCATGGTTCACAAAATCGAAAGCCTTACTGAAGTCCATGGTAAAAATTCGCACTGCGCTATAGTCACTACTATCTAAATACTTGTATGTCTGGTGCTGGATAGCGAGCAAGGCATTTGTGCAACTACCCGCCTGTCTATATGCAAATTGGGTGTGGCTCAGGTTGCTCTCAATGACTGACTGTGCTTGTGTACGATACACGACCTTCTCAAACAACCGGGCAATAACGGGAGTAACATTAATACCACGGTAGTCTGAGTCCTCTATAGGCATGTTCACTTTGGGGAGAGGGTTAACATTTGCCCTTTTCCAGGAGTCTGGCCATGTATGAGTAGACAGCGACAGATTCCAAACGTGAGTGACGATTGGTGTGAGTAGCTCAGCACAGTCTTTCCAGATCCAGTACGGGAGGTCGTCTGGTCCCGTTGCGGTTTTCTTTACATGAACTAAGGTATTCCAGACACACCGCTCAGATATTTTCGGGGCTTTACACTGTCCGGGATATCCATATCACTAGGTCTAACGTAAGTGTCATCATAGCACAGGTTGGCGAAGTAGTCGTTCAGACGAACTAGAGTTCTTGTCCAAATTTATCAACGATGACCTGCGACGCTGCGATAGGGCGTCCACGCCCTTCCACCACTCACCGCTACCAATGGCAGCCAGTTTTCTTCTGTTCTCGGTTATCAGCTCAGAAATGCGCTTATTAAATAAAGACAGGCGTTCCTTATTCTTTAAAGATATATGGGACTTAGTCCTCAGCATACACTTGACTAATGGGGACATCCAAACTGGGTCACGCGATGACATGCGTACAGATTTTTGCGGCATAAACTTATTCATCACTGCACGAATCTTTACCTCAAGCACCTCGACCGCCTTGTTTATGTCCACCTCATTGAGGACGTCACTCCAGTCCAGCGCAGTGAGTGCCATATAAAATGACTGTTTCCGATGTTCCCTACAGTCCCGCACGAGAACTTTGCGGCGCATAGGTTTAAGCTTTAATCCCGCCGGTAAAACAAAGCCCTCATGGTCTGTCTTAATAAGCATATGTATGGAATATGCTTGACCGAACAGATCCGCTCGGTTGGTCATACAGTTATCCAAGCACGCGTTACCCCGCGTGGGAAAATCAACCACGAAATCCCAGCCAGACAAAGCCTTAAATTCTTGCATATCCAAACGATTTACATCGCCACCACAGACAATAGCCGCTTCTGGGTGTTTGTTCAACACAATGTCCACAAAGGATATTATATAATTAATCAAGTCGAGATCCCGGTAGCTATGCTTGGGAGGATTATACAGGCCGCAAATTAGCATAATGTGATCGGACGGCAACTGCACTGTTAAAGCAATAAATTCATATAAATTGGACCGATAGACATCCAAGACTTTAAGACTGTCTCTCACATAGATCGCAACACCCCCTTTTTTCCTTTTGTCCAAGTCTGCCCAACCTCTGTCCCGCCTGAACACATTGTAATTTGGGATATTCACCACGGCGTCCGGCATATTAGTGGAAAGATGAGTTTCACTGACAATACATGTCAGTGAAAGATGTCAAAGAGAAATGTTTACCTTTGATTCTTCAACATTTTTAAAATTTATCTTTAATTTTTTAAGCCGACCCATGCTATCATTATCAAAGCCTGAGTGATGCCAACAGAAAGAGCAGTTACATAACACCCCAGTACCAAGAGGTGTGTGATGACCAAATCCCTGTGGAATGGTATCGTTTTGTGGGAGCTTCAGGAACAAAAATGCCAACAGCACGTGTGCCAGCATACAGATGTGGTACAGACTGGCCAGGCTGGTTGAATGGTGCTCATCCCACAGTGGAGGATGGTGTAGTTGACAGGTCGGTCTGCTTTAGTGATCGCTCTACTGGTTGCAAATACTCAAAAACTATTGTCGTAAAAAACTGTGGATCCTACTTCATCTATAAACTTTTTCACTCACCTGGTTGTAACTCACGCTACTGTAGTACAGACTGAATATGAAGCAAATATATCTAGCGTAGAAGAGGACTCATAAATCGCTCCGTAGGTACATGTGTATAAGGTTTTTGACATTTGACGTAGCTAACCTTTCTTCTCTATCGAGAAAATTATCAGAAGATTTAAACTTTGGTGGCAGGCAGGTATTTATTTCATTACAATGATAATTCTCGTCAGATAGCCTCTGTCATCAAAGACAGTCGAAGGATCTTCAACGTAATCTTCAAGGTAATCTCTCAAGCTGATGGTTTTCGAGCCTTTTAATTCTGTATTTTGTAATTGTAATACTAATTGTAATTGTGTATTTTTTTTAGTTTATCTCTTTTTTAATCCTTCTTTAGCTGTAATTATTAACCGTGGTTATTTTAGCGCAGGTCGGCGGAATTCAACCGGGCGCTATCTTACGATATCAGCATGGAAAAAAAAGGAAAGACAGCCAAAATCTGGTGTCCCATGAAATTAGTTAAAGTCAACGTAATAAATTCAGTATTTTGTGACTCAGTATTTTGCAACTTTAAACCAATTTCTAGACACACAGTAAGCAAAATTCAATGGTTCAGCCTGTCGTAAACGAGTGTCAAATGTGTCCGAATCGACCAGGATTCATTCGTAGTGGATCTCTCACATTTCAGACTGATTTTGAATCCAAGTTCAAGCTCTTTTCGCATTGGCCTCAAATTTTTCCTACACAGCTTATTTAATTATGCGCGCAGGCACTTTTTTCATTGAAGATGAAATAAGTTGTATAAGTAATCAGGCGTTTCGAGTGCAATTTGGGAGAAATCAGTACGAGTAAATTTTCCAATGCTAATCAAATTACATAAGCCCGTAGGGCGAATGCAACTTACATGTGTATGATTACGTTTAATAACTGCATGTGGCTTTTAAAAGTTGATCTTCTTTTCTAAGTTTAATGTTTGCCAACAACAGAAACACGCAAAAAGAAAAATACACGAAGCTGCGATGTGCTAAAACTAAGACTCAGAGTAGTATAGGCAAGTTTTTACGTGTTGTAAACAACTTTGTACACCGTTAAAGCACATCACCAACAATTTTTCACAGAGATGTTCAGTTTGAAATCAAAATCACAGTTTCTCGCTGTGGAATTTTCTTTGTTTTATTCTGCAAAAATATTCAAAGGATCCTATGAAAAATAATAAGGGCAGGAAAGAAATCCACAATATGGCAGATATGATATTTCTTTTCTAAGAAAAGTCCTCGAATCATTTGATGTTGATTTGTCTAGAATTTTAAAGAAGAGACCTGAGCACAAAGCAAATGGGGCAAAGCGAGGCGAGTTTATCAACAACGTGTCAAAATATAGAAAAATCGTTGGTGGTCTTTTCAAGGGGAAGTGATATGAGCTGGGTCACTTTGTGGCTCAGCTTCTTGAGTGTGTAAGTAGAAGCTAAGAGTATCGTGTATTTTTTCTCATTATTTAACAAAAACTGCGTATCTCTTTGTAAATAGATTTAACTTGCATGGACTATTTTCAGCTAAGTTTCATAACATGAACCCGAGAGTAAATGTTACGGGCTGTGTAATCCATTGTCCAGTGTAGGTTCTCGATACCATTCATCTGATGAAAGGTCTTGTGAAACACTCTTCAAATTCACATGATAGGAATCGCGAAAGAGTAGCTCTCACCATTTTTTGACGGACTTAATATAAATAGCCAGGAAAAATAACAACAACTAAAAGGAAATGTTCGGGTAAATGCATGAAACCAGCACCCAGAGAAGTTAAATTAGAGCATCTTGATTAAATTGCATGTAATTTTCACAAGTAATGTTAGAATTCAATTGCCAATCATTATTAAATAAACAAATTTTAAAAAAAAAATTTGCAAAAAGGCATCTCTCGTTGTTTCTACCTTTTTTAGTGCTCAGAGGTGTGCATTAATTTGCTATCCACAGAGGGGGTGGGGGGGGGGAGTTTCTTAACAAAAGAACAATAGGAGAAATTATTGTTATCTTTAGGAGCTAAGAATAGTAATGGATACCTCTTGAATTTTGTGCATAAAATGCTTTAAGAAAAATTCATATTCAAATTCCGCTAGTGAATGAGGTTACTAATAAAAAGTGCAAACGCACTGGGCGGTTAATTTCGCACGGTTGGCATATTTTTTTCCATATCTGGAAACAGTCGGAACTGTTGCTGAATAAAGACTGGTAATGAAACCACGATCGGGAATTTTGCCATCGTCTTTCATTGCTGGATTGCATTATTCATCTTGTCGATGTCATCTGTTTGGTAGAAGGAAGTGAATAACGTTTTTGTACACCACTAATGTGAGTGCAAATGCTGGCGTTAATCTAAAAAAAAAATCAAACAAACAAAATACAGTAAAACCAACAATGAACGTGTTCGCAGAGATTATGGTTTCTGAATATCTTCCACAGTGCCCCTTAGCTGGATTTCCGAAACTCGGGAAAAAAAAAAACGGGGAAAACTGCAAAAACATACACGAACACATCAGATGGAGCACAAAAACTTGTGATAAGGATGAGTATCTTGATAATTTTATAGTATTCGAACATATAACTGATGAAAACAATGACATGACATCTTCTTTATAAAACTAACTTCGAATTTGATAGCCTCTTAATGTATCTATCACCTGTCTCTTCTTCCCAGTTTCTCACAGACAAGAATGTACAAATAAGTTTAAACACCCTATGGGGGTAACTCGTCTTTTAAGACCCTTTTATTTACAAAGCACCATGTAAAATTAAAGATGGGATCCCACTAAGCCTTTCTGGACAATTCTAGATTATGTAAAACTTGTTACCAAATCTACTTCTATCATCAATTTTATCCTTAATTCATTCTGCCTTACCTGAGGACACTGGGAATCAATCCTTTGTAAAATCCTCTTGCTCCTTCGTGCCTAAGATTTTGAAGAGAATCCTCCGTGAGAGGAGACCAGAAAAGAAGAAAATACCTATTTCATGAAAATGTGGACTTGATCACTTAGCCGTAAATGTAAGTCGATCCAAAAACTGGATCCGATCCTCAAACAAGCTGGACTCAGTTCTCCGCCAATTTCGGTCCAGTTCTCTGTCAAATTGTTTCAATCGGGCAATAAATGTACCTCCATTCAATGTAGATAGATTTGAAACTAGAGATAGAAAGCTAGTCTGTAATGCATTAAATTAGAGTTAAGTTCTCATATGAAGTTTCAAGTGACCTTAAAGTTTTACTAATCTTATCTAAGGCGCCTTTGTATTCTACCATCATGTACTGATTCTTTAGAAAAGTGAAATTAGTGAATAATAAATAACAAAAGGAAACAGTAAGAATAGAACGATTCTCCGAAAAAAAAATAACTCGCGTAGAGACAACCCCAGATATATTCAATTCGTTTTGGCCAATCTTATGGGCACAGGATCAAAACTTTGGCGCCGTGCGTTCCCGTAGCCATCTTGGATCCGTGTTTCTTGGGAGGAATAGAAAGAGTGAAAGAGGGTGAAAGCTACTCTCCGTCTATGAGATTTGATATTCATCCCTATTGTAGGCTTTCCCTGGCCTTTTGTTGGTGTCCATTTGAACTCCTGGGAGGGGGGTTATTTGGGGCTAAAAAGTCTTTTCCTAGGGAAACCAACGCAGTGACTTGGATGGGGCTCGAGGCTCGAGTACAGGCCACATCAACCCGGAGTCCAGCAAACCAACCGATGAGACCGCTGCATCACCAGCATGAAAACTTCAAAAAGCTTAAACTACAAGTTTATTTCAAGCTAATAGCATATAAACGTAAAACAAAATCTATGTTATAAAGTTAACGCTTTGCTTATGAATCTCCCATTCTAACCTGAAGTCTTGCTCTAACCACTTGATAAGGATATGTCGCTGTTTCCGCGAAAATTTTCGACAGTGAAGCCATTACAAGGTACTCTGTTGAACTCTATAAAGAAAAGGAAAATTGGCAAAAATAAAATTCAGGAGAAAACTCTTCATATGAAAAAAGCTTTAATATCTTTTCAGCATTTCAGAGTGATTTCCAAGATGACTCACGATTACATAATAAAACCACATGTACAACGAGTTAAAAAGGTTGTCGTTTGGGCGTCAGCTGTGGCTTCAAAATGCTGAAGCTCGTCATAGAGGGCGACTACCCACTTTCACAATCAACAAGCATCCCACACCCTTCCCTCTGTCATGTTCTCCCTTTACATTTGCCAATGACCATTACATGTGTTTGTATTAACCTTCTACACCATAACATCAGTATGCGTATTCCCCATACTGTTCTCTGTACATTTTCGAAGGTGCTTATTCTTATGTTCTCCATGTGAAATTCAGAGGTGATATTATAAACCCCCTAAACAGGTAATGATAATACTCAAACTATCAGGTAGAACTTTTTATTTTGATAACACCAAATTTTCCGAACTAATTTACATAGAAATGTGTAGCCACTAGAAGGGAGAATTAACAATCAAATCTTAAGAGTTAAAGGGTTTAATTAGGCTGAATTAGATTTGCATGGTCGCTGACTCTAAGACTTTGTTTTGTTTTTACTCTTTCCCTCCCTTTTTCTCTTTTTGGTTGTTCCCCTCCTTTTTTAGCTGGTTCAAAAACCAGTGTTGGCTTTGTGCACATCTGGAGACCAAAACATACAAACTGTGATAAATGTACCTCCATTTAATGTGATAGATATCTACCATGCGATATCACAATGATTAGCATTAAGTCCCAAAACTGAATATAAGAGAGATTACTGTGATTATATCATACAGACCTAAGATTGCTAAAGTTCTTTGCAATCAGAGTGCCGGACAATGAATCGGTCAAAAAATACAGCCCAATCTTTTGAATACAGTTTTCAAATTATCCTTTCAACGAACACTTGATTTCCCACGACTGGATTTCCCGTGCACATGAAAAGTGAATGTATAAAAATTAAAGTCTAAATACATCTTTGTTAATTCCAGCTGCAATTAAGCACTGGAGACATAAGCAAGTTTTAAGTTGGCTTAAATAAGTTGGCTACAGTATCTCAGGAATAGCCAAAAGATACTTAAATTTCTCTTCAAAGTTGTAGGCTATTGTTATCATAGAGGTGAATTGCCAATCAGGTGACATGTGTTGAAGGCCTAAATGTAATGAAATCCTAAATGCAAGAACATTTAGCGCTAACTGTAATAAGCCTCCGGTGCAATCGTTTAACTCCGTCAGCGCATTGTCGTAGCGGACATCCACGTTAAGATGTTAAAGTGACAGCTGTTGCACCAAAAAATCCTCTGGTCAGTATTCATGTCACATTGCGGGCTCGCTGATATCAATCAGCGTCTTCTTATTTGCTAGAGTTAAGTCGAAAAGCATTGGTTGCAAACCGTTAAGCTGATGCTAATTGGCATCATATGACAGCTGGCAAAACAATGAGTACTCTGACCAATACCTCTCTATATATCGCGGTCAGGTGACCGATTCTGAGAACACCTTCGAGACGTAGAGAGAATTGACAAGGACGCATCCAAGCCAATCGCTAGACACTTAAATCTTCCTTATCATTCTAAAAAGCATATGACAGTTTCGGTCACTTCCTTCTTTTGTTCAGTCACATGTCACACATAAACTATGGTAATAAGATTGAAAAACCCCGCGAAAAAACAAGGAACCCAGAAAAAAATGAAAGCGAGGCTGTATTAGCATAAAATTTTATTATGTATTTAGATGATGGCCATTAATAGCTTTCAGGACCTGTCATTTCTCTCACTTAACTTAGCCAAGGTATCTTCGCAAGTTAACATCACCAAGTAAGCACATCACGGGATAGGTGTTGCATCTTAAAAGTAAGCCAATTTTCTTCAACCGAAGAGAACACTCCATGAATGAAAAACTACATTAAAGCTATTTGAAAAATACAAGTTCTTCCTTAAGAGTAAAGAAAAAAGGGGAAAAAAATGTCGGAACGAATTCTATGTGATAATCCCTCGCAACTGAAGAAAGCTTAACTTTAAAGCGATTAGTTTTGAATTTTATAATCCTCGTAAAGGATTTGCTTTTCCCCTTTTTTTCTGCTGACAGGTAACATGTTAAAAGTGACTTGATAATTCTAATTCTCCAACTAACAGAGCAAGAATTTCTTTTTTTAAATCGACGGATTCAGAACTTTACATCATTTTTTTCAAACAATCTGTCCAAAAAAGATGTTCATTCACATTGGAGATTCTCTTTATCAGATCTCGAATTTCACGTTTGCAATGCAGTATAATCGATGTGAATATAACAATAGTATTCTTCTCAGTGAATAGAAAACCTTTAAATTTTGAAATATTGGCCAGAGAATGAAGACGTTCAAATGGCTTTTCTTTTTTCTACTTTTTACAACTTTGGACGACTTTCTTTGCGGCGCAAAGTTTTGAAACAGTTTTCTTTCTTTAATTTGGCACGAAAGAGAATTCGCCGACATGACAGTTTATAATCTGACTTAAAGTCATTGCGGGAAAAAACAAACAAACAAACAAAAAAACTCAACGTCATTTAACTAAACTCGCAAAGCCACAGAATTGAGAAAGGGAACGAAAACTGAATAGTTTCTTTGATATCAGCGTAGATTTAGAAGGCCTATTTGGTGCACCGTTTTATTTTCTCGCTGAGTGGGAGTTGCTGTTTCACAGTATTTTTGTTTTCAGTCATTTGTGGCGGTGAAATATCGCTTTCCAAAATCAGACACTTTCACAACATGGCCAAAATTTATCGCATACAACATTAAAAAAACACGATATTTCCACAGAGGCAATTTTTTTTAATATAGTAGCTACTAGCATGATCCATAAAATATCACCTTTGATTGCCATCCATGGAAGGCCCTTGCATTTGTTTTAATACGATGATGCAATTTATGGTCGAGTTCCACTTTGGTTCTAATTTCCCTCGACAGTTTTGAGATTTTGCGGTGCCTTGAGAGAGATCAAATGAAAAAAAATGTGCTAAATGTCGTGCGGGAATTTGCTTTATTCTCTATGAGTAGAGAGCTGGAGCAGTCCTTAAGACTAACATCTACATTTAAAAAACGCAATTGATCGCGTTGATGTACGGTTTCGGCAAGAACGGAATCATGAGGTTCAAACTTTTCCCTCAAGTTTTGATAACGGAGTTGAATAAAAATATATTTTTTGGGAAAAGTAGTAAGAGGATAAAGTTCAAATTGCTTGACTGGTCTTACTTCTTTTCTACTTTGAGAAGTTGAATCTTCAAGACTAAATTATCTTCAAGCTGCACAGGTGTTCTCAGCCGGTAGGGATTTGCGTCCACGGGGTGTCCTGCAATAAAAACCCCATAGGGAGGTTTGGGAAATTTCCATTCTCCAAACTGATAAAAAATAAATGTCTTAATCCATCAAAATTTCAAACTCGTAATTTTTTGGTTACGAAACCAACGTTAAAACAATTCTTTAAAGGACTTATTTCGGACTCAAGTTTCAATGCACAGGGGCTGTACTACTTGGCGACGATTTCGACGCAAACGAAAATCAACAGCTGGAAGATTTGCCACAGTCCAATTTTTCCCGTGTACCTGAAAGATTTCTTTTGTCGGTATGGACCAATACAATAACTGTGAATTTTGTACATTGAAAATTAGGCCCACTGTTTGTTTTTGTAGTGATTAAACGCATGTTTTCATCTTGAGTGCGTCATCGCACTTTACGACTCTTATTCAAGGATTGTCGAGGATTTATTCATTGATAAAGTCAACTTTTCTTGTCGGTTAAGGGCTATTGTATTTTTATAATAAACAAAAAAACACATGGTTGCTCGTAGATATGAAATTTCTCTTACTGTGTTCAACTCGACATCTCATCTCAAAAAATATCTTTCAAGAACAAGGCGAAAATTGGCCAGTGGCAAATCTTTTAGTTGTCGATTTTCGTTCTCAGCTGGATTGCAGCATTTGTAGAAAGGAAGGTAAAAAGTTACATGACTAAAGTTACAGTACTTTTGCCATTTTTATCTTATCAAAACCATGAAATTAAAGCTGTCATGATGTGCATAGTCGTTCTTAATTTTGGATGATGTCGCAAACATGCATGTATTATCACCTTCCAATATAAAAAAAGAAAAAACACAATTTAATCCATGACGTTCAGGGATTCTTTTCATCCATGTTTTAAGAATGCAGAACTTCTTTTTGACGCCAGTAAATGCATGCGTTGTCAGTGTGATTCCATTTTGTTATTTTTCTGTCCAGCGAAGTGCGTGTGTTTCATTTCATCATATAAGGATTCCTCTAACGTTGTTTTTTATCTTAAGGCTGATGCAGATTCCACGAAAATCATCTGTGTTTTATTTATGCCCTAATAACGCTTTAGATACTCATACCATTTCGAGAAGTTGCAACATTTTAAAATAGATTCCAGTTTTTTTAAGGCTGTTACACTCAAACAGCGCATTTTTATTCTCAACGACAAATAGGAACAAGAAATTAATTATTAAGAGCATGAGAGATATTGACTATTGTGACAGCAACTACTTTCACAAGAAACAAGCGCCGATGACAGCATCGTTTTCAGAGGGTTTTTATTTCTCATCAAAAACTCTGGAGGAAGCGTGCTACATGCTATAAAAGGTAAGCCAGTTTCTTTAGACGTTAGCAAGTTAAAATCTGAATATGAGACATTTCATTTTTAAATGATTATTTGGAAATAGTATGATAGTTTTCCTTTTTTAGAAAAAAAAAATATATATATATATATTTTCCGAAAAAAACTAAGATGATATGATCCCCCTCCTCTGACGTCTGAGGTCAGCGAAACTGCATTCCTTGCAGTTATGTAATAGGATAGGATGTAGGAATTACCATAATATCTCTAATTCTTTAACTAACAGTGAAAGGATCTTTTAAGTCGACGGATTCACGACGTGACCCTTTTTATCATCAAATCTCCAATTTTAAGTTTGCAATGCAGCAGATAACCTTTAAATGTTAAAATCTTGGGCAGAGAATGAGAAAAGTTAAAATTTTCCTTCCTCTTGTCGACTTTCTACAACTTTCTACGACTTCCTGCGGGACGCAAGATTTTGGAATAGTTTGCTTCTTTAATGTTGCGCAAGAGAGAATTCTTCAATGTGTCTCTTCTTAATTTAGTTTAATCATTGAGCGAAAGCGTCGCATTCAACATTCATATCCTAACAGTGTGCACGAGGTTTGTCACCACGCACATAGTTAGACATGTCTATCCGCCGTGATATTTTTTTTTCTCTGCTGGTTGGCTAAGTAAGCCACACTTTCCAGTTTCAGTATTTGTGGGAATGGCGTGGAATTCAAGATTCCTGATCTTCCTTGCCTTTTTGTATCTCATGAACTTCGCTACTGCTAAAAAGCAATGCAAGACAGAAGTTAGCTTACCTGGTATGGCTCTCAAAGGATTCGTCTTCAAAAAGGTCCCAGTAACAGCTCCTCATGTGTGCGATATCACCTGCGAGAGGGAAAAGATATGTCAAAGCTACAATTATGTGATTGGGGAAAAGTCCTGTGAATTAAACACCCGAACCAAGGAAGCAAGGCCCGAGAATTTCCAGCCAGATGATTTACGCTTTTACATGGGACGCGTTAGTGGTAGAAGTATGTATCCGGTTTTGTTTATTTTCTATACAAATCTTTCTCGATGAGTTCTTAGTGAAAAACCGCCACTTTCCTAGGGCAAGTGTCTAATTGCTTTGTTATTAAATAGAGCCAGTGTCTTAAAGCAAAATTCGCCCTCCACACTACATTAATATCAACTAAACTTCACAGATCTTGATTATTATTATTTCAGGTTTATCTTCCCCGGACAAATACACTTTCAACTACAATGTGTTTTGCAATTTCTATTACCCTTAAACTATTAATTAAGTAATGTTTATATCGTAGCCCCCTTAGGATCTATTCCTGAATTACCAGCGTTATCGTGCCAAGAGATAAAATTAAGTGAAGGTGACGACAGTATCAGTAAAAAGTACTGGTTGGATCCAGCTAATGTCGAGAGTTCAAAGTTGGTTTATTGTGACATGATTTTGGGAGGTAAGTCAGTATCAAGAACAGAATTACTTTACACAGTGTTTGGTCTGCCTTTGCCCTTGCGTTTTTGTGAAATGTTATCACCTTGTCTCAGTGTTCTCTCTCGATTGATTTCCAATTAGACATCGATGAATGCAAAGGCAGCAATAAAGTTTGTGACGAAAATGCAAACTGCTCCAATACTGTTGGGTTTTATAATTGCACCTGCAATGAAGGATTTACTGGGGATGGATATTCGTGCTCAGGTAAAATAGTTACAGACACGCCGTGGTACAGTACTCTTTTTCGCCTAAAAACCCTAAAGGTACATTTGAGCTATCTACAATCGATTAAGTGAATAATAGACCAATAATAGCTTGGATGCTATATCAGCAGACCCTTAGCATCAAACAAAGCCATTTTAGCAGGAACCATTGTCATACTAGTGCTAAGTTATGTTTTTTAAGCAGCATTACCCATACATGTTTATGCACGGAGTTGCCATGATATACATCCGGTTTGTTTCAGAGCCTTCATTTTAGGGAATTAAACAAAAAAAAAACAACAACATTGGAGAAGAGAATGCAAGACCTAGGTTGCATGTTTCAAAAATCTACTTCGTTAAAGACGAAAAAGTGAAAGCTTTTTCTTATTATCTGAAATGATTAAAGTAATTACAAATCGTTAAGTGACAAAAGTTAAGTGCAAAATGCATATATGGTTTCTCAGATATTGACGAGTGTAAAGGAAATCACTCCTGTCACGCGAATGCTACATGCATGAACAACCTTGGATCACATGTATGTCAATGTCATGCTGGCTATACTGGAAATGGACAAAACTGCACAGGTGAATTTAATTTGTTCGTTACAATACTTAGAATAGTCCTGCATGATACGTTCGACTACAGCGCCGCACCATTCAGCCGCGTTGCAAGACAATTAGTAAATTTATTACTCATAACTCGTTATGATTTAAGCAGCTGTTTCTCGTGTTAAGAACCTCCTTTGTAATATCTCTTTTAAATGAATAATATTGGTGACTGATGCATCGTTATTCCCCTCTGAAATGAACCTTATCACGATGATTGACAGAGGCACGACAGTAAAATCGCTCGTTTAGTTCTGAACCCTGTGTACAAGATGAATATGTCAGTGATTTTCCATGGCGCTACCTTTTTTGTTGACGCTTAATATATATTTGAGGGGGGAAGTTGAAAATTATTAGCAACAAGTTTTATAAAATAGTCAACATACTATGAGCGCCCTCATTGGTAAAAAACAACCATTGATTGCACCGATAAACCCGTGGAAAATTAAATTTTATGTTATTAAAGTAACAGACCCCATTTTCTATCGGCTTACCAAAGAAGTGAACGTCTCCAGATGTTGGGAAACCATTCGAAAAACATTCTCACAATATCCCACGTGGATTATCTCGGCATTAGAGTGATAGAAAGAGCGATGAATATAGGGGGTAAGTCTCAAAAGAAACTGTAGTGCTGCGTCGGTGGGAGAGTATAACAGGGTAATTAAGTATTATCAACCGAGTTGATAACGTAAATTGGCCACCCTAAAGAGTTTTAAAGCTAACGCTCGAAACGTCAGCATTGTAACTCTTTGCGGTGACCAATTTACATTATTGACTCAGTTGATCAAACCAAATTATCTCACTAATAAGATCTGTGGCAAATGCGAAAATTAAAAAAAAAAGGGAAAAGGATAAAACTTTTACAGAAATGAGATGTTGACTCCTGAAGGGGTTGTATATTTTTCTCTGACCTTAGCTGACCAAGTCTTCAACAACATTTTTTTCCTATTTTTGTTCTCTCTCAGACGTTGACGAATGCAGCGAGACACATCCCTTTAAAATGAACAAATGCCATCCGAATGCATCTTGCACTAATACCCAGGGCTCATACAACTGTTCTTGCAATCCTTCGCTTATTGGAGATGGTTTTGATTGTAAAGGTTAGTTTGGTTTTTGAAGGCGATGAAATTTTTATTTTGTTTCCCACGTTAAATGTAGCAGTAAATTGTTTAGAGTTTTCTCTCATCCGACATTCACATCGAGGAGGCATAATATTACGCTCCCTTGAGCACAAGAACGAATCGACTTTTGATTATAGGGGGGTAAGTTTCTGAAGACACTGTGATGCTGCGTCGGTGGGAGCCACCGTAAAGAGTAAAAAAGCTAATGTACTAACTTTTGATTATGTTTTAAATGACTTCAAAACCTTAAACGAACTTTAATACGATGCAGACATGACACTCTCCGTGGAAATTCCCTTTAAGAATCTCTAACCTTCCAAGATTCTCTTATAATAAGAGCAGTTATGATCAGTCTAACATATACGACTTATGCAAGCCAATTCGCGTCATGATTACAAATTATTAGATGATGCTAGAAGGCAGAGAGTTATTACACACTCCTGGGAAATAATTGGGTGACTAGCGAATACTTCTGCGTTGTGTGGGAGCTGAGGATTAAAGCTGAGGATTAAAGCTGAGGATCAAAAATGTCTTAAACGTATATGATAGCATCCAGTTGAGGTACAAACAACTCAGGCTTTGATGGGCGATTAAAGCAAGAGGAAACGTAATTCCTTAAGATGCTATCATTTCATTTTAGTTCCTTTGTGCGTCATAATTGTCCAACCCAAATTCTTCTGACCCAAATTCTTCAAAACCTGGGTGACGCTAATAGAAAGAGCAATTACGCTACACCACTGTTTTGTGACAACTTACTCCTCGCGGAATTTTTTTTTTTTTTTTTTTTTTTTTGGGGGAGAAGCAGGAACAAGCCAGTTATTTAGCCAGTTGTTTCAGGGCCGTCGGGTTGATTAATTGTAATATTCGTAATGAAATATACATTTCAAGTATCTAATTCGTGAAACGAAAAAAAAAAAGGAGGGCATTGGTAATATTGTTTATAATTATTAAAGTAATTATACGACTGAGAGTCTACCCATTTTAAAGTGACAAACATGATAAAGTACAAATACGTATACGGTTTCTCAGATATTGACGAATGTAAGGGAAATCACTCTTGTCACGTCAATGCTACCTGCAAGAACATGGACAGATCCTAGCTTTGTGAATGCCAGCCTGAATTTAATGGAAATGGTCAAAACTGCACAAGTGAATTTAATCTCTTTGCTCTAATATTTGGAATATTCTTGCTCGAATCTAACCGGAAGCTGCCGTTTGCAATTGTCATTTCACTTTGCAGCTGATCCTTGCTATCTTTATGAAAACCTGAGTGAAGCCGATAGAAAGATAAATTACAGTACACCTCACGGTTCAGAGTTGTGTGACAGAAAACTCCTCGGGGGATGGTATCGTTTTGTGGGAGCTGCAGGAACAAAAATGCCAACAACGCGCGTGCCAGCAAACAGATGTGGTACAAACTGGTCAGGCTGGTTGAAAGGTGCTCATCCTACAGTGGAAGATGGTGAAGTTCAAAGGACAGTCTGCTTTAGTGATCGCTATACTGGTTGCCAACACTCAATAAATATTTTTATAAAAAACTGCGGATCTTACTTCATCTACAAACTTCACCCACCTAGTTGTGAATCACGCTACTGTAGTACAGACTGAATGTGAAGCAAGTATACTTGGCGCAGTAAGAGGACTCAAAAATCGCTCCGTAGGTACATGTGTATAAGGTGTTTGTGTCTAGTTAACCTTTCTTCTCTATCGTAAACATTATCAGCAGATTTTAACTTTGGTGACAAACAGGTATTTATTTCATTAGAAGGATAATTCTCATCAGATAGCCTCTGTCATCGAAGAGAGTTGAAGGATCTTCGAGGTAATCTTCAAGTAAAATCTGCATGACACAAACTCTCAAGCTGATGGTTTTCGAGCCTTTTAATTGTGAATTTTTTTTTCTTTAGTACATATTTTTTAATCCATCTTTAGCTGTAATTATTAACCATGGTTATTTTAGCGTAGGTTGGCGGAACACAAGCAGGCGTTATCTTGCGATATCGACGTAGAAAAAAAAAAAAAGGAAAGACAGTCAAAATCTAATGTCTTATGAAATTACACAGAGTTATCGTAATAATTGTGACTCAGTATTTTGGAACGTCAAACCAATTTCCAGACACACAGTAAGCAAAATTCAATGGTTCAGCCTGTCGAAACCGTGAGTCAAACGTGTCCAAATCGACCAAGATTAATTCGTGATGGATCGCTTACATCTCAGACTTATTTTGAATCTAAGTTAAAGCTCTTTACGCAATGGCTTCAAAGTGTCCCTATACAGCTTATTTAACTAAGCGCACAGGCACTTCATTCATTCAAGATGAAATTCGTTAAAATAATTATTGCAGCAATTTGTATGGGTAATCAGGTGTTTCGAGTGCAATTCGGCAGAAATCAGTACGAGTAAATCTTCAAAGGCTAACTCAATTAAATAAGCCATGAGGGCGAGTGCAACTTGCATCTGTATGATTACCTTTAAAAACTGCATGTAGCTTTAAAAAGTTGATTTGTTTTTCTAAGTTTAATGTTTGCCTACAATAGAAACACGCGAAAAGAAAAATATTCGAAGTTGCGTTGTGCTAAAAATAAGACTTAAAGTAGTATAGGTAAGTTGTTAGGTGTTGCAAAGAACTTTGTACACCGTTCAAGCACATTACCAACAATTTTTCACAGAAATTTCCGATTTGAAATCAAAATCACAGTTTCTCACTGTGAAATTTTCCTTGTTTTATCCTGCAAAAATATTCAAAAGATCCTATGAAAAATAATAAGCGCAGGAAAGAAACCAACAAAGGCCACTGCCTGGATTGCAGGGTAGATCTGATATTTCTTTTGTAAGATTAGTCTCCGAATCATTTGATGTTCATTTTTCTCTAATTTGAAAGAAGAAAGCTAAACACAAAGCAAATGGTGCAAAACAGGGCGAGTTTATTGACGACGTATCAAAATATAGAAAAATTGTTGGTGCTCTTTTCAAAGGAAAATGATATAAGCTGTATCAGGATGTAGCTCAGCTTCTTGAGTGGTGTAAATAGAAGGGCATCGTGCATGTTATCTCCTGATTTAACAAAAACTGTGCATCTCTTGATAAATACATTTAACTTGCATGGACTATTTTCAGCTGAGTCTCATAACACGAACACGACTGTAAATGTTAAGGGCTGTGTAGTCCATAGGCCGGAGTAGGTTCTGTGATGAAAGGTTTTGTGAAAGACTCTTCAAACTCACTCGATAGCAGTCGCGAAAGAGTAGCTTTCACTATTTTTTTTTTGGTGGATTCAATAACAAATGGAGAAAGTTATTGAGAAAGATCGTAACGTAAGGAACAGAGAAAGGAATGTTTTTTTTAGAACTGTCACAATTAATTTGATATTGAACATTTTTCTTGATTAAATTGGGAGTAATTTTCACAAGTAATGTTAGAATTCAATTGTCAATTATTATTAAGTAAACAGTAATAAAAAAAACTTGCACAAAGGCATTTCTCGTAGTTTCTGCCTTTTTTAGTGCTAAGGAATGTACATTAATTTTCTACCCACAGAGGGGGTGGGGAGAGATAGGGGGGAAGTTCTTAATGAAAGAACAATGAGAGAAATCATTGTTATCTTTAGGAGCTAAGAATAGTAATGGATACCTCTTGTATTGTTGTGTATAAAATGCTCTAAGAAAAATTCATATTCATATTTCGCTAGTGAATAAGGTTCAAATAAAAAGTGTAAATGCTCTAGGTGGTTAACTTCGCACGATTAACGTATTTTTTTTCCATATCTGGAAACAGTCGGAACTGTTGCTGAATATAGCCTGGTAATAAAACCACGAGCGGGAATTTTGCCCATCGTCTTCCATTGCTGGATTGCATTATTTGTCCTCTCGATGTCATCTGTTCGGTAGTAGGAAGTGAATAACGTTTTCGTACACCACGAATGTGAGTGCACATGCTGGCGATTCTCTAAAAAAACTAAAATCAAACAAGAAAAATAAAGTAAAACCAACAATGAACGTGTTCAAACAGAATACGGTTTCTAACATCTTCTACAACGCTCCTTAACTGGATTCCCGAAACTCAACAAAAAAAAAAAAACAAACAGAAAACCGCAAAAACTTACAATAACACATCAGATGGAGCACAAGAATTTTAATAAGGACAAGTATCTTAATAACTTCACAGTATTCGATCATATAACTGACGAAAACAACGTTATAACACCTTCCATATAAAACTAACTTCGAATTTTAATAGCCTCTTAATGATCTATCGCCTGTCTCGAACCTTTTCTTTTCAAAGCGCTAACTAAAATTAAATATGAGATCCCACTAAGCCCTCTTGGCCAATTCTTGATTCTATAAATAGAGAATAATACATAGGCGCGCGTAGATATGGAATTTCTCTGCGAGTGTTTAACTCGATAGCTCACGAGTGAGCGCAGCGAACGGGTGAGATGATGAGTTGAACACGAGAAGAGAAATTCCATATCTACAAGTAACCATTTATTATTTTGTTTATTATATAAACACAATGGCCCTTTACTCACAAGAAGCGCCGACTTCCTTAATGAATGAAAATAAATGAATCGACAATTCCCAAATAACAATCATGGAGTGCGTTGGCGCTAACTATAACTCTTTGGATGGAAAAATGCGTTGAATCACGATTTCAAAAACAACAATGTTTGTAATTTTCAATTTACAAAATTCCATTCATTGACTTTGTCCTTATCAACAGAAAAAAAGTCTTTCAGGTAAACGGCCAAAATCGGCCAGTAGCAAATCTTCCAGCTGTCGATTTTCATTCTCAGCCACGAGAAATGCCAACACCAAAGCCGTAGCCTTCGGTTTCTCTTTTTGTGTATATTGGTTTTTCCCCTTCTAGAAAAGTTTGAATCTAACCTTCTATCAGCGATACGAATTTTTTAGTGTTTTAGCCGCCACAATTCGAGAAAGTTCTGACAAGCTACCTTGTATTGAGAATCGTGAAGGCTTTGCCGCTCATTCATTAACCTGACCGAGTGGCGCCAAGGGCGAGTGACGTGTCAGCAGCTGATGCGCTATATCAACACAGATGAAAAAATTTCGTATCGTGTTGTTACGGCTTTTCTCAGGGCCGGAAATCCTTGTTTAACATCGCAGTTTATGTGATAAATCTTTTTAACAAATCTACTTGTATTATCAATTTTATCCTTAACATTCTGCCTTACCTGAGGACACTGGGAATCAATCCTTTGTAAAATCCTGTTATTCCTTCGTGCCTAAGATTTTGAAAAGAACCTTTCGTGAGAGGAGAAAAGGAAAAGAAGAAAACACCTATTTCATGAAAATGTGGACTTGATAACTTAGCCGTAAATGGAAGTCAACCCAAAAACTGGATCCGGTCCTCAAACAAGCTGGTATCAGTTTTCCACCAATTTCGGTCCAGTTCTCTGTCAAATTGTTTCAAAAGGGCAATACTGTACTTCCATTTAATGTAGATGGATTTGAAACTAGAGATAGAAAGCTAGTCTGTAACGTATCAAAAAAAGTTAACTTCTCATATTAAGTTCCAACTGACCTGAAAGTCTCACTAATCACATCCAATACGCCGTTGTATTCCACCATCGTGTACTGATCCTTTAGAAAAGTAAAATTATTGAACAAAAATAACATAAGGAAACAGTAAAAATAGAGCGATTCACCAAAAAATATAATAAATTTAATTCCTTTATTGTACTACATTTTTTTTTCTTGAGCCCAGGGTATTAAGGTACACATGGAGCGTTACACACCACTGGTGACTTTTTGGATTTGATTGACTTTATTAGAGACCAATACCCTGCATACTTCACCACAAGTCCAACACACACACAGTCAAAATTATCTCAATTCAATATACCACCACCTTGACTCAAGTTCAATTCCCTCACAGTGAAATTGTGATTGAGAAAGGTATCAAACAATTGATTTTTCACTGCTGAATCAAACATTAGGCTCAAAAAAAGTAAAGAAATGATCACAAACTTGAAAGAGCTCTTGATTTTTAACTACATTCTCCTCGTAAAAGGCATGTTTGAAATTTATACTGATGTAAGGGTGTACATGGTTCACTTTTCTTTTCTCTCTCTTAGATAAAAGGTGTCATTCATCTTTGCAAACAAATATCTTACCAAACATTCATTTGTACTGTGGTATTTGTGTTCTAAGTAAGGTGACAGAGTACTAGAGACATAAGCGAGTTTTGACCACCCATATTGAGTTTGCTAGGTAACCTCGCCCAAACCACAAAAGTTGGATTCACCATTCTTATTAGCAAATAGATGGACTTTAATAGTTGGAAAGTAAGTCAACGTAATATAGATTGAAACTTTCCCAACATTATCTCAAAAATAATGCAACACAATGGGTTACTCGCAAAACATACAATTGTCTATTTGTTCAAAATTAATCAGCGCACTAGAAGGACATCGAATGAATTAACGTCTGATAAAATCTCCAACTGTGAACAAATTAGTACGCTTCAAACTTCGAGTCTCTTAACGGAGATAAACGCCATGTCTCAGACGCTTTTTTCGAAATATATTCACAATTCTTTTATTAATATTTTTGGGAATATCTGTAGTTCTTAACAGTAGAAAAAAAAC